TTATGTACAAAATAATGAGAGGAATCAATTGGTAAAGAAAAAACATAGTTGTTTTTAAAAAAAAATATGTAATTTGCAATTAACAATTACATATTTTTTTTTTTAAACAACTATGTGTTTTCTTTACACCAAATGATTCTTCTCATTATTTTGTACATAAAAGTATTAAGGTAAAATAATCGAAAAATGAATATTTTACTAGATATTTTAAGGTTTATGCAAAATTAAAAAATGATTTCAAGCCTCATAACTCGAAAAGTACTCAATGCAGAAATATTTTATTATAGTGTTTTGGAAAGCTCTTGAGATAAGCTACACGAATATGTAATAAAAAATAGGGGGTTCCATTTAAGAAATTGAAGGTGACCTTTACGTCATCTTCAAATGACTCTCCAAGGTCAAATCATTGCCACTATCTGATGGCCCCCTTTAAGCCATACAACTTTTGTTTGAAACATTTCTTTCTAAAGTGCATAGTTTATGAAATATTCGACCGGTCTGGGACTTTTGGGACACCCTGTATATATATATTTTTTTTCTTCAAAATACAACTTTCTTAAAAATCAAGCATGTTTTTTTATAAATGTCGAATAAAAATGTTTTCCATTGGACATTTTTGAACATATCTGTCTCTTTTGAAATATATAAGATATGATAATATATTGAATCTTACCTCAAGATATAACCGCGAGAGAAATCAAGTTCTCTCTCTCGTTCCCTCTCTCCCTCCACCTCTCTTTTTTTCGCACGCGCATTCCGTTGGTTCTCCTCTGACGTTTAAAATTAACTCTTCTTTGCAAACGATACACTCCCCGCTAAGACGCGACACTAGCATGAAAATGAAAATAATGAAAAATACTTGGAAAAAAGAAAAAATTGTCACATGTTAAAATTGCGTTGTCCATTATAATATCTCTTTTTCAACAGAGACGTTATGAAACGAGGCAATCGGTTCTTAAGAAAGGCATCAAACAAATACTCCAAACTATTATGTTTTAAAAGACAAAAATTTTAAAGTTATATAAGACACTTGACTATTGTTTGATTTCATTTCAAATGACCAGAGGGAATTTTCAGACATATCTAAAAGAACACTCAATATGTTGACAATTCATTTAGTGTAACACTTTTTGGAGTAAAACCCTTTTTAAATAAATAATTGTCAAAAATTTCTTTCGCACGCAAATTAAGATTTGAAAATTTAATAATTTAATATCGAAGGAGAAAGAATCGATTAATTATTTGCAATGCTGCTATTAAGGAGATATTTTTAATGTACAAATATTTTCTAGAACTTTAGAGTTGAAGAACTGTCAATTTTTTTAAATAATTAAACAAATTACAGTTTGTAAGCTATATTTTTTTATTATCTACCGAGATAGTTTCAACGTAACAACTTTTATTGTAAAATCTTGTATATATTCTCCAAAATTTGTTAGGACCGACATAGTATTGAAATTTATATGAGAGATCTCGACGAAGTTGATTAGAGGAAAAATTGAATATTCAGGGTGTCTGCTCGATGAAATTTTCAGAGATTTCTTTCGTATCAGGAAAAATCAGAAAATTTCCATAGAATTTTATTGGAACTCTGAAAATTGTTTTAAAAATTCTTTTTTTGTTAATTTTGCTCTTACACTGTTGACAAAGGAATTATGTACGTGTGTTTAAAATATATTATAAATATAAGTCTATCTGTTTGTATATTCAATATCTTAAAAAAATATTGACATATTCTTCACTAATAATTTTTAATAATAAAAACCTGAAAACGTGAAAACGTTATCTTATCATAGCTATTCGATTTTTTTCAGCATATTTGTGAATCTAACACTTGAAACTTAATCTATGTCTTTCCTTCGTGAGTGAGAAACATTAAAGAAAGCATACAATAAAGAAAAAAAAATCATTTTAGAAAAAGATTTTTAAAATATTCTCTTTACTTGAAATTTCGAATCAGAATATCGAAAGAGAAAAAGGGGGAAAAAAATCAATTTTTAAAAAAATTTGAGTAGACATCCTGATATTTTGTGCGAATTTCAATGTTTTGAAGACTTTAACAGCGAAATGCGTTGCAGGATATTATTATCCGAAATCGCGAGTGGATTAGCGCTATTTAGATAGATCTGTAGATTCGAAGTGCGTTAGAAGCGGCAGAATGTGTGGGAGAGAACCTTCGTGAGTTGGCGCGAGTTTGCATTGGAGTGGCAAAGAGACTTGGAACGGAATTAAGAAGGGATTAAGCGAGCGTGGGCTGTGCTTTTTTTAGGGTCCCTTAACCAGTTTCCACGTTGCGTTTTCCTGGCTTCGGCCAGGTGGGCCCGACGTTCCTATCTCTCTCTTCCTTTCTTCCGATTGTATTTTTTAGGGCAGATTTTCATGTGACGCTTATTTTTCGGCATCCACATCACGTGCTTAAAAATAAAGATATCATTCGTCATCATTTCTTGATCACTTGATGTCTTTTCACACTAAAAATGAGCGTCGAATGAAAACCTAACCTTAGGATAGGTTTTCATTTGACGATCAACGCTTATTTTCCAGCGTCGAAAGACATCACGTGATTAGAAATAAAAATATCATTCGTCATTTCTTGATCACATGATGTCTTTTTACATTAAAAATGAGTATCGAATGAAAACCTAGCCTTACGAGTGTCTTTTGTTCGCCTTTCCCTTGGCTCCACAAACTCATGCCCTCACTTAATTTTTTTAAAATTTTGCAGCAGTGCTAAAATTCACGCAAATACTCTCCACTTTGCGGATTTATTCTTTGTAACTTATAAAAAATACCTTTGTGTAAGAATATTTTTGATAGGTGGATGCAAAAAATATTAACGAGGAATTTGCATTGTCAAGAAGTAATATAAGATTGCAAGATTAATGAAAAAAATGCAATAGTCGATATATGAAATCCAATATCAATTCGTGGAATCATTGTATCTTGACAGTATTAAATTTGCAAACTGATGAATTTACGTAGATTTATTACACCGTTCACATTACATTAATACTAATCGATATATTATTTGTTTTCAAATTATATTTTCCCATTTTTCTGTTTATTTTTATGATTCAAAAATTAAGCTTTGAACAAAATGAATTTTTGCAAAAGAAAAAGTCGTCTCACAATCAGAATTGAGTCAGAAATGTCATTTTAAGGACAATAGTTTATTTTGGATTATTCTATATATTAAAAAAAGAGTTAAGGATCATAGCCTATTTTGAATCACTCTAAATATTTAAAAAAAAAATTAAGGACAACAAACTATTTTAAATCGCTTTAACATTAAAAAAAAAGAGTTAAGGACTACAGACTATTTTCAATCATCCTATATATTAAAAAAAAAGAGCTAAGAAAAATAGACTATTTTGAATCATCCTATATATTAAAAAAAATTAAAGACAAACTATTTTGAATCGCCCTATATATTAAAAAAAAAGTTAAGGACTACAGACTGTTTTCAATCACCCTATGTATTAAAAAAAAAGGAGTTAAGGACAATAAGCTATTTTGAATCATCCTATATATTAAAAAAAAAAGAGTCAAGGACCATAGGCTGTTTTGAATCATCCTATATATTAAAAAAAAGAGTTAAGGACCATAGGCTGTTTTGAATCATCCTATATATTAAAAAAAGGAGTTAAGGACTATAGGCTATTTTGAATCACCCTATATATTAAAAAAAAAGTTAAGGACAATATTTTGAATCACCCTATATAATAAAAAAAAGAGTTAAGGACAATATTTTGAATCACCCTATATATTAAAAAAGGACTTAAGGACAATAGGCTATTTTGAATCACCCTATATATTAAAAAAGAGTTAAGGACAATATTTTGAATCACCATATATATATATTTAAAAAAAAAGAGTTAAGGACAATATTTTGAATCACCCTATATGTAAAAAAAAAGAATTAAGGACAATATTTTGAATCCACCCTATATATTAAAAAAAAAAAGAAAAGGAGCAATTAACGAGAGAAGAGCCGACTCCCGCGAATGCTCCCCAAATAGATGTATGTCGAATGGATGGATGCCGATCGATTCGACGATTTCCAAGGCCCGTCCGATTGGAGCGGGGTCGTCGTTCTCCTCTAATCGTCACGACGCGGTGCACAGGTGGGTAGCGGCGGCGGCAACGGCCTGTAGAAGGGGTGTGAGGGCGGAGGGGGAGGGTGAGAGGGGAGGGAGGGAGTGCTCCGGGGCTCTGTGGACTAGATCGATAATGCATCTCTTGGCGGGCGTAGTTCCTCTTAGTCGAAGGGCGATCGCTCCCGCGAGGAAGACACCCGTCATTTTACTACAGCCGTCGTCCTCCCCCCGGCTGCGCGTCCAGGAGAAGGAGGAGGAGGAGGTTGGTAGTATCGGCCCATCTGTCGAGGATTAACGTGAGCATAAGGAAGCATGTAGAATTGAGCCGGAGTACCACCAGTGGCAGATCAGTAGATGATAGTTCCCTGCACTTTAGTCTGTTAGTCTCATCGAAATTTAGTTGGTCGCGCGATCTTCCATTTATTTTCGGTGATGTGAGTACCACCGAAAATTTCAACAGTTGTTCCAAAGGGTTACACGAGGGTGCGAGATAAAATTGTAATTCTTATTCGACACGTTCGAATGCAAGAATGAAATGAGTTTTGTAAGGATGTACTTTAATATGAAGTAAATTACAGTTCGTGATATTTATGATCTTATTCCCGGTAAATCTTTCAGTTTAAGTGATGCAATTTTTCGATAAGACATCTCTTACGTAGTTCGAAAAGGCGTCGAAGTGAAAAATGCGACAAGAACCTCAAAAGATTAATTGACTTATTGAAAAAGTTGCTCATTTGTCACTTGACAAGATGGCATAAAAGAAAAAAAATACTTTTTTAATGTAATTTAAAATATATATAGATAATAGTATATCACTAGCAATTTATTTTATGACAAATGAGAATGATGTAGTGAACGTAAAGTGATTATTTAACTCCTAATTTTTCTCAACATTTATTCCAGAATCCATTCAAAATCCACTTCAGCATGCATTGATCTCTGAAGCGGAGAATGTAGCGGACAGCGAAGATTCTGAGGACGAGTGGAATTATTACCGTATCGATCCGAATAAGAAGGAATCCGCGACGACGGCTGTCGCGACAGGCGAACCCAGCGAGGACGTTGAGGAACAAAGTACCCAGGATCTCGAGTCTAGTCCGATAAGTGATTCGGAAGTCCAGTCTTCGAAAGTCGAGGCCGATATTAAATGTGAAGAATCAAAAGAAGAGATCCCTCTTGAGCCTGTCAACATCGATGTGAGTACAATATGCTTTATTGTTTTCTCGCGAAAGAATGTTCGCCTATATATTAAAAAAAAGAGTCAAGGGCCATAGGCTGTTTTGAATCATCCTATATATTTAAAAAAGGAGTTGAGGGCAATAGGCCATTTTGAATCACCCTATATATAAAAAAAAAGTTAAAGAAAATAGGCTATTTTGAATCACCCTATATATTAAAAAAAGAATTAAGGACCACAGGCTATTTTGAATCACCCTGTATATTAAAAAAGGAGTTAAGGACAATAGGCCATTTTGAATCGCCCTATATATTAAAAAAAAAGAGTTAAGGACCACAGATTTGATGGGAGAATATGTGTATTTTTAATAATTTTGCTATACTTTTAGATAAGCCAGAAAGAGCCAAGTGAACCGGAGAAGGATCACGCCTACCGTCTGGACGACGACGAAGAGAAATCGGCAGACGACAATAAAAAGGACATGGACTTCCCACTGAATCCGGAGGCGGCCGAATTCGTGCCGTTGTCGCCACCACTTCTAAATAGCAAGAACGTTTTGCAGGATTATCCCATCAGCGGCTCTCCCCTAAAACAGACGCCGGCGATGGATGACATCCTGATACCGAGCCAAAGTGAATTCGAGAAAGAAGCGAGCCTCCGACCGAAGGACATAGACGAGGACTTCTCGAACGATAAACAAAACGCGACAAGTGATAATCTCTTGGACATAGATACATCTGACACATCGTCGACCAAGGTCGAGGTGGACGATGAATCGACAACCCGTATCGTGTCCACAACGCAATGGCAAGCGGATAACGACACCTCGTGTCAGTGGAGCGCGACAACACGTAACGATACAGCGTCCGACTTGGAGGGGTACGAAGTCGTCAACATCGATAACGTCGATGTCATGACGACATCGTTCACTCCGGCTGAATTGGAGGTAGCGTTCGAGAAAGGCATTGATCTAAATGCCGTGCACAGCCTGAACGACATCTCAGATGATGAGGAACACGTCAACACGCCGCCGCGTTCACCCGGTGGGCCGTGCACGAATGAGGATATACGCGCGGATACACCTTTATTGGATGATAAAGAACCAATTGATCTTGTGTGCATATCATCGACGCCATATCCCGCGGATAATGAATCAACGTGCGCTGCCGTCTCCGAATCGGACGAAGGGAAAGACGTGTTTTCGGTCTTCCAAGCGGAAGGTTTACCTACGGACCAACTCGGGGTCGCTCCTCTCACGGACGATAGTCCCATTAGTCAGCCAGAATTCGCCTCTGATGAATTTAAATTCTCTGATTCATCTAACCTGGATAAATTTACAACTTCTGATGAATTGAAAGTTACGACCTCCATGGAAGAAAATATCTCGGGGGAAATGTCATTAAAATTAAGTGAAAATCCATTTGATGATCAACAACCGATAGATTCAGCCAACGAAAAATTCGAAGTGCTGTCTAACGAAGTTGATCAAAGTAGTTGTTTGCTTCCCGAAAAGTCTACGCGGGAGGATGAGGAAAAATTGACAGACGATAAAACACAAAGCAAAGAAGAACAAGTGGACTTGCGCGAAAAGGATGATAAAATACAATCTGAACTGATCAGTGAAACAGAGAGTGAATCAGTGAAACTAGAAAATACGAATAACATTAATACAGAAATACAGCCGACACTACTGGATATAATGACACCACCACGGCTTTCAGAATCTGAACCAAACGCTTATGACACCGAAGAGAATGAAACATGTCCAATAAGGACTCCTATAGAAATTCCAGTTATTACTGGAAAGGAATATGATTCTTCGTCTCCTGATTGGGGAGATTACTACAAGACGCGTAACTGGAGGAAAGTAGAACTCCCTTACCTCAATCCTTGTCCCGACTTTAATCTCGAAGAATTTGGTAAAAAAGAGGAAGTTGACGACAACAAAGACGACAAACATGATCAAGATGATAAAGATGATAAACACGATCAAGATGATAAAGACGATAAAGACGATAAACACGATCAAGACGATAAAGACGATAAACCTGGCAAAGACGAGAAACACGATAAAGACGACAAACACGACAAAGACGACAAAAACGGCGATGGCAGCAACGCTGAAGATGCAAATCCACCCGATTCAGCGGAAGATTTTACGATTGTGGAGAAGGAAACCGAATTTGATGATCAGAAGACTAATCAGCCAATTATGAATCCGTCTTGCACATTGTTAAGCAATGCGCCAATCGTGCAAAAGCAAGTAGAAGAAGAATTTGCTGTGCAAATTGAATCTACGAACGTCCATGAGATACCTGAAAAACAAATCGCGCCCGAAGATATTCTCGTGAACAAAGAAGAAGAAGCCAAACCACAAGAAATCGCGAAAGCGTCGCCGGAGGACGTTGCAAAGACAGAGGAATTAAAGGAACAGGGAACCGCGGAAGCGATACAAGCCGTCTCCGCGATAGCTACCGCAGCTGCGACCAAAGCGAAAGCGACAACGACCACGACGACTAAACGTCCAACGAAACCGACAACGAAGACGGCAACGAAAACGCCGACATCGCCCTCAAAAATAGTCACTTCGACGACTACGCGAACAACTGCGATATCGTCGCCATCGCAAGTCCCCGCAAAGAAACCTATCGCGGCTCGTCCTAAGCAGCTGGTGGACGCATCGACCAAAGCCACGGGGATCTCGAGTACCAGCAGTAAAGTCACCAGCACCAAGACACCGACATCATCTAAAACCACGACTACAACAACAACGGCAAAGACTGGTGCCTCGTCGCGTGTTGGGACGACAAAATCGAAAATCAGCACTACTAGCGCTGCCTCCTCCAAGTTGAGCGCCGCAACGTCAACCGAGAAGAAACCAGCGACAAATCTCGGTGAGACCAAGACCGGGAAAGTTGCCGCCAAACCAGCCAGTGCAAGAACCACGACCACCAAGACCACGCTAGGTGCGGTTAAATCATTGCCGTCAACAGTGTCCAGCCTAACGTCGAAGCCGCCGAGGTCTACGTCGGCCGGTACGACTGCCAAGACATCCGCGACGTCGAGACAGCCAATGACCAGCGCGTCGACGAGACCCAAAACCGCTCCACCGACATCCAGCGGCGCGGCCAAGCCACGTGAAGGTCTCCATCCTAAAACGACCACAGCCAAGTCACCGTTGATCGATAAGCAGAGCAAGGATTCGGCCAACAAGGAAATTTCTCGCTCGAGCGTCGCTGGAACGTTATCACTGTCGGCATCCAAAACTGGTAGCAAACCCTCCGTGCCTCTCGTCGGCAGCACGTCTGCGAAATCACGCCTGTCGCTCGGGAAATCACCCGCTAAGACGGGGAATGCGATGTCACCCACGAAGAAGCCAGCTCTGACACCGAAGGCGGCATCAAGAACCGCTTCTTCCACCCCTGGGGCGAAGAGCACGGCCTTGACCGGGTCGCAGAAAGTGTTGCAGAACGGAATCTCCGAGAGTCGCAAGCCCGAGGACGACGTACCACGGAAGGATGCGTCACCAGTGAACGTGCCGACCGATAATCAGCTGATAATCACCGATTGAAATGGTTGCTCGAGAAGCCACGAGTCAACCGCCGTTGTTCGCGACCACGCAACGCCGGCCTAGGGCTTACGATAGAACATAGAATCGCAGATTTACCGCGAACCGTTATAGGTTTCTCCTTTTTTACAATTCTTATTTAACGGACGAGAAGCAGGAGCGCCCGCGCGTCTCCTCGGGAGAGAATAGTTTTTAGGAGATATTATATATAAATATGTAACGAATATAAAAAAAAAATTATTGTCCTTATACAGGGTGGCCCCGAACCGTTCTAGCCAGACTTTGAGATCTTGTAGGGAATTTAATTCCGAACAAAAAATTTCCTATAAACATGGGTTAAGTTAGGTTAGGTTAGGTTCCTTCAGAGGTTTTTGAGCGATAACTTCTTAAGGAGGCATTCTTCGACCCATGTTTATGGGAAATTTTTTGTTCAGAATTAAGTTTCCTACAAGATCTCAAAAGTCTTGGCCGGAACGTTCGGGGCCACCTGTATACGCGCAAGCACATACAATGTGACAGATATGTTTGGTCCAACATGAGGCGGGATAAAGGCATAGTATTCTAAACGGTTACTTTCGACAACTGCTGCCTTATCATAATAAGAATCGTAAGATAATTTCTCGTTTTTATGTAAATATAATTCGGATTCGCTTTTTTTTTCATGCCTCGTTCCATTTTTTGTTTTTCGTTTCAATATATTCGCGCCCTAAGAAGGACCGAATGGCGCTCCGGTGACGGCCCGGGAAAACCGATCGAATCTTGATAAATTCTGATACGGCAGTACGTTAATCCTTGAACATTCAACGCGGAAACTTAATGAAAAATGTGTACGTGAATTTTTTACCATTTTTTAATTTTATATGCGCGATCGCAATTGAAGTAAAAATATCCATTATTACTCGCGATACGACTTTTACTCGAATGACAAGAAAAGAAAAGAGATGGGCGGGGGGGGGGAGGGGGGGAGAAGAAAAAAACGAAGGGGTAACAGAAAACGTATATATTTATTCTTGTTTGTTCCTATTTTTTTTTTTTTTTCAAGTTGAATTCGTTGCGAGATTATATATATCGACTCGTAACTCATGATAATATAAACGCTATTCTAATCTATGTACAGCACCCTTATGATTTTAATGTGATACCTTACAATATTATTAAATAAATTTGAGTAACGAAGGAGAGATTTATGTATGTGCATGGACCAAGGGCGAAAGAAGAAAGAGAGAGAAGGACGAGATTCGAAGTTTTGAAATGTGAGAGAAAATATGTATGGAGAAACATAAATATATAAGAAGAAGTACTACATCGTGCAATATAATGTACATGTATACATATTTATATATACATATATCGCACAATATAATGTATATGTTATATATATGTTATATACATGTTATGAAGATGTTATATATTTATATATACATATACGTTATATATTTTTCTTGCAATTTTTTCTCTCGCCCCTCGAATCTCGTTCCACTTCGTGTCTCTTTTTTTCTTCTCTTCAAAAGGCGATCAGCGTCAGAGATCGCTGCGCGCACCTAAAGGCGCCTTTTCATATGACGACATCAATCGCAAATTTTCCTTTATCGTTTTTGAAACTCTCGGAAGTAAAAATTTTTCAGCTGCTTCCTTTATCAAATTAATTAAAAAAAAAAAAATATTCGAATGGACGGAATTCGTTATCGAAACAGCTTTTTTTTATCCTACTTGACATCTATTTATTTCGTTCGGTGAATCCCCGAACAACACCGAACATTGCAATAATATTGCGGCAATATTACAATGTTGCCGCAATATTGTTGCTCGTGTTACATTGATGGCCTTTAAATATGCAGCGAAATGTGTTGTTCCAGTGAAAAATTCGGAAGTTGCGATTGTCTACTTGAACCGAATAAGTTCGGATGCGCGCGCGAGAGTCCTTTTGCGATACCGACTTGTTGTACACACGCACAATATTCAACCTGATATGCATTATAATGCGGCCTCATGTGTTATCAGAGAGCATAACTTAGTGTTTTATCCACGCGAATGCGTGATATTCCGATTTTTTGCGTATTTGTCACCATTTATTTCTTAGAATTCATACTTAAATAAATGACATATTACGTTTGAATTTTATAATGTTTCAGTTTTTACTCCTGACTGCCGCAAATCTACGGTTGGCAAAAGATGAAGGGAGTATGCATTTCACCGGATCGGTTCTTATGGCTTTTCTCAATAACAATTACATAGTCCGGTATCATCTTTTGCATATCAGTTTTTTATTAACCAAGGATAGTTTATAATAATATTAAATTCTTGAATGTCGCTAGTAGATAAAATAACGTAATTTAAATCGACCATAGAACCAGGTTTTGGTCCTTATCAAGTGAACTACAATAATTTCCAATATTATAAACAGTAATTAAATTACAATAATATTAAATTCTCGAATGTCGCCAGTAGATAAAATAAAATAATGTAATTTAAATCGACCACACTGGCAATTTATTGTTTGGTGAAGAATCACAACGTTTCGACCATAGGTTTTGGTCCTCATCAAGTGAACTACAATAATTTCCAATATTATAAACAGTAATTAAATTACAATAATATTAAATTCTCGAATGTCGCCAGTAGATAAAATAAAATAACGTAATATAAATCGACCATACTGGCAATTTATTGGTTGGTAAGGAATCACAACGTTTCGATCATAGGTTTTGGTCCTCATCAAGTGAACTACAATAATTTCCAATATTATAAACAGTAATTAAATTACAATAATATTAAATTCTCGAATGTCGCCAGTAGATAAAATAAAATAACGTAATTTATCGACCACACTGGCAATTTATTGGTTGGTGAAGAATCACAACGTTTCGACCATAGGTTTTGGTCCTTATCAAGTGAACTACAATAATTTCCAATATTATAAAGAGTAATTAAATTACAATAAAATGTAAATAGTTTATAATATTGCGCTCGGTCTCATCTGCACCGTGGATATTTTTTCGAGAGGAAACGGATGAAGAGTAATGTGGGAGACGCTTTCTTCACACTTCTCTTTAATAGAACCATTTATTACGTATTACATGCTATGTATTTAAATTAAAAAGCTTTACAGTTTTTTGTATATACGCTTGGCTGTAATGTCACTTTTATTGGCGGATATGTGCTGAAACGAAAGGAAGGGAGGAAATGTATATAAGAGTCTTTAATTAACTTCAGAATCTTTAATCTTAAATTAAATAACTGTTATTGCACTCTTCTGTATTGAAAACTGCACTTACCGCGATCAATTGGGTGCCGGTGAATTCGTAGATTCTGATCAGTTTGAGATCCGGAGATAAGGAAGTCTCGGATTGGAAGCCTAAGTCGTGTTTCGTGGCCACGCTCTGCAGCAAAATCGAGAGAAACATAACGATTATATATCTGTTTTTTTTTATGAAAGTGATGAAACGAAGAAGGTAATTATTTGTATTCTCAATTAGAACTTGTTGAAACTTGAATCTTCTTTTGTATAAGAAAGAAAAGACTCGTTTCTCCATTAAAATAAAAATAAAAATTAGTTCAAGTAATAACAATAATTAAATGATAAAATTAGTAAGTGAGAGCAAAGGTATTGAATAATTAATTAAAACGCAAAAAAGAAGAAAAAATGCTTTTTTTTCTTTTGTTTGTTAGGATATTTCAAAATACTCGTTAACAGTATGTACATTAAACACGAACTTGTCCTCTCTCTAAGATCTCTCTAAAAGATTGAAAAATCGCCTCCACAAGTCAAATTAACGTTATATAAACATAATAATTATTTTATTCAATTTCAATATCATTTAGATATAATTTTTTGAAAGGATAAATATAAAGTAAATTTTAATATAAATTTAAATATCAATTTAAAAATAAATTTTAAATAGATAAATTTAATAATTAGAGATTTGGCTCAAATAATCAAAAAATTAAAAAAGAAAATGGTACAAAAACCAACGTGCGATAGTTGGAGCGCAGAGAAACAACAACACTTGTTTCTTTTTTCAATATTAGTTTATTAAAAAATGCTTTTTGTTGTAATATGAGTTTTTTAATAAACTAATATTGAAAAAAAAGAAGCGTTGCTGCCTCTCTGCGCTCCAACTACCGTGCATTGATTCATTTTTTCTTTTTTAAATAAATTTTTTAAATAAATAAATCTATCATTTACGTCCTGGGGATACGCATACCTCTTCAAGGATAAAAATAAAGATATCAATTAATTTACGAATTATATATTTAGGTAAGATAAATTTATGTTTATCATCAAACCATCTAGTCCCCAGAGCTATCGCAGAAGAAACTTAGTCCAAGTATATACTTAATTTTAAATGATCTAGCTGAACGCCTTCAGAATCTTCCTAGAAGCTTTCTTTGTTATTTCCCTGATTATTTCGCTCATTCTTTTGACACTCTGTGCTCACATCACCTTGAAAGGGACTTTCTGGGACGGAAACCACTCATCATAGACTTCGCCGAGCTTAAAGGTGTTGGTGACACTTCTTTCCGGATTGGTGATGGTGACCGTAAACGACTGATCATCGTTCACCTGGACCTCCACGGTCAGTGCAGACTTCAAGATGCCCGAGAACTCGGATTTGTTGATGTCCTTGAGAAACTCGTCCAGGTTCTCGCTCGTTATGTACTGGTATTTGCCGACGACGTGCTCCATGATCGAAAAGTAAGGATTGATCGCGCACACAAGTCAGGAGATCAGAACTAGAATAAGCCGTTGAAGAAAGCGCGCCGGCTTTTATAACATCCGTGAATCCGAGGGACGAGGAAGTAGGGAAGAGAGAGAGAAACATTTCGTTAAGGGGTATCTCTCTGCCAGGGAGAGAGAAAGACTGAGAAAGAGGGAGAGAACTGCCGGTCAATCTGCTGATGATTCCGGACAAAGTATATTCGACGGATTATATTATCCGTCGACGGATTCATCGTTCTGTCGTCGTGTTGCTTCTGTGCCCTTCGCGCTCGCCGAGGGGCGAAAGGGAAACGTCGCATTTATTCGCGTCCATTTGCGGGGCACTTGTGCGTTAGTTACTTCGTAACTTACATCCTGCCTCCCGGCTCTCAGAATCGGTATTTAATGCACAGAAGAAGCGTTTCTGTGTCGTCAGTTTCGTTGCGCTGTTTAAATCTTACGATCAAGACATTTTTATGACTAATACTAAAATATATTTCATTTCTGAAATTTTATATTTTATGCATATATATATAAATTTTAAAAATATATATAAAATTTTAAAAATTATATACCGAAAGATGTATAGAAAATATAAAGTGTATAAATGTATTTTAGAAATATGTAATTTTTCCTTACAATATTTTAGATATTTTAAATAAATTGTTTAATTTATTAAACAATCATGCTTTTATAATTTGTATTTTTATAAAATACAAATATATATATATATATATATATATATATATATATATATATATACAGGGTGTCCCGAAACTACCGCTTCATATTTTAAAGGTAGATTCTCTGGCCAATTTAAAAACGATTTTTTCCTCAGCGAAAATGTTGAAGGAGATAATTATTTTTTGCATATTCCCAATTTTTGTCATCATGTATCTTTCTAACTAAGCCTTAAATTAAAATTCTATTAAAGTAAACTCTACCTAAAATTAACTAAAGAATGTGACTTTATTAATATTTTATTCCCATAAGGCTTAGTTTGCGAAAAACCTTTTATTTTCAATCATTTATAACTCGAAAACTATTAGTGCCTCGACATTTTCGCTGAGAAAAAATCGTTTTTAAAGATTCGTTGACCAGAGAATCTACCTTTAAAATATGAAGCGGTAGTTTCGGGACATCCTATATATAGATGTTATATAATTCACTGAATTCTGTTGTTGTACATGTATATAAAAATACAAATGATAGTAAAGCAATTATTTAAATATTAAATTAATTATTATTTAATTTAAATATTAATCAATATTAATATTTTAATTTAAATATTAAATTTATCGTGTGTAAATTAAATTGATAAGATAATCGCTGTGTAAAAGCGATAGCAATAATCATTACTCTTGCAACAAATACAAAACATTTTGTGCTGTATGAGTACAAAGTCGAAATTAAATATCATTTGTTGTTGCATTAGTCATTATCATGGGTACAAAGTCGTAATTAAGTATCATTTGTTGTTGCATTGAATTAATCGATAGAAAATCGGCAATAAACATCTCATTTATTCCCACCATCAACGACGAATGAACTTTGTAAAGTAAAGAATCCAAAATTTCACGATAATGAGATAACTGCTGTTTAATTAATCTTATCGCTCTGATATTATAGATTTCTCTATATGTTTTTTATCACGTATTTCTGTCGAGACATTATACTTTGAAAAAATTTTTTTTAAATTTACATCGCTTTTCACAAGCAAGAAGCAAAGTTGAAAAGGACAGATGCATGCAACAGTCGGATGTTACAGGCAATGCAAAACAAACAATTTGACGTAACGAACAATTCTCGTAACAATTCTCGTAACAATTCTCGTAACAATTTGACTAATACTTGAGACGGAGCATCGATCATACAAATTTACAATTCAAACGAACAATTCTCGTAACAATTTGACTAATACTTGAGATGGAGCATCGATCATACAAATTTATATGTGTGTTTGTCTGTGCGAAAAGTACGAAAGTACATAGGTCACAGATATAAATACAATATACATTGGACATGTCATCTATTCAGTAACAATTTTTTCCAGACAATCATGATTCATGCGAACATATTCTATTAATAGTGATATCATGCAGAAAATAATTGTCGATTATCGATTAAAAGCAATTCACATTCTCTCTGGTGATGTCATTGATAAAAGTTTAATTTTCTTCACTATATTAAGTAGAAATGTTAAATCATCGGATGTCCTTTTAATTCTTTTGGCCAATTTGGAGTCAATTTTTAAAAGTATAATTATTTATTTCAATGTTTCAAATATTTCCACAACATATCTTTTAAATAACAAACTAATTAAATATGTAAATTAATTATATTAAACTAAATTGCATTTAAAATTTTTGATTAAATAACATAATTTTATGATCTTTCTAAGTCTCTAAAATTTAATTTGTGAAAAATTTTCTCTTTTCTAATTGCTTATAGCATAATTAAAATTTCAAAGTTGCAACATTTAACATTTTAAGAATGTCCGACTTAGCCAAGGAACCTGTCATTAAAATTACATCCAGTGATTTTTAAACATCTTATGTATCCATCATATCTTAGCTTAGAAAGATTAAAAATTTAGAAGGGTCAAAAAACCAGAGAGCAAATTGTTCTACGTTTCATATGATCATCAGACGAAAGGTCAATGATTATTTCATTAATCATTATGTTGTCGTCTTTTATTAAACAAAACAGAAAATCCATCATTCTCTTACGTAATATTCTTATGTAATAGCAAAAATACAAAAAAATCCTGCAGAAAATATTAAGAAGAAACAGTTTGATATTTTTTCTGACACTTTTCCTGATATTTTCCTGATTTTGTATACGCTTTTAATTTCTTTCATGTAATTGTTAATTGCAAATTACATATTTTTTCTTTGAAACAACTATGTGTTTTCTTTACATCAATTGATTCCTTTTATTATTTTGTACATAAAAGTATTAAGGTAAAATAATCGAAAAATGAATATTTTACAAGATATTTTACGGTTTATGTAAAATTAAGAAATGATTTCAAGCCTCATAACTCGGAAAGTACGTAATGGAAACTAACTTAATTATAGTGTTTTTGAAAGCTCTCGAGATGAGCTTAAATGTTAACAAGAATATGCTATAAAAAATATGGGGTCCCATTTAAAAAATCCTAGATAACCTTGTTCTGACCTTGGCGACGCCATCCAAGATTAAAACTCATAGCACAGTAAATAGATTTTTTGAAATCCTACAATTTTTATCTGAAACATTTTTTTCTGAAATACTTTTCGAGATATTTCATCGTCCCGATACTTTTTATACACCCTGTATGTGTGTGTGTTTCCCATACAACACAGAAACATTGCAACAATATTGCGACAATGTTGCAACAGCATTAATAATATTGTTCCAATATTCTGTGTTGTATGGGTGCGTGTGTTTTCCATACAACACAGAAATTTGGAACAATATTGCGGCAATATTGCTGCAATGTTGCAACAACATTAATAATATTGTTCCAATATTCTGTGTTGTATGGGTGCGTGAGTTTTCCATACAACACAGAACATTGCAGCAATATTGCGGCAATATTGCAACATTATTAATATTATTGCTGCAATATTGTGCTGTGATTGACTCTTCTTTGAAGGAGACAATCGCCATTGCTCGCAGATTGCTTGTCCCCGCCTTCCAAAACCATAAGTATAGCCATGAATTGACAGTTAATTGCCGGCGATGAGCATACATCAAAGACTTGTTAGACGACGCCGGGTCACGTGACATCTCCGCCGTCTCGTATATGCGGGATGAATGAGCTTATTCCTATTAAGAACGTATGTATATACATATACGATTCTTTACGCTCAATTGAATTTATTTGTACCTACAGTGTATATGTATCCTCTTGGTTCCCGTTTACGCCAACAATTGCACGATCGATAGTCGACGATGCAACGTCCAACGATTTCCTTTGATGCTGCGAATGAATATAAAATAAACCATAATTTTCTCATTTTCTAATTCATATAGATTTTTATTTATATCTATTTTTATTTGTTCTTATTATTCAGATTTTTTATTTATACGCGAATTCCCATTTATATCTATTTTTTTTTATTTTATATAGATTCACATAAGGTATCTAATTTACAAAAATCGACTAGTTAATGAAACTAATATTTATTCATTAGCCAAAAATAACAAAAAAAATTTATATTACATTTTGCTCTATAAACAGTGTCAGACTTTACGTCAAATGTTCAAAGAACAGCAGAAGATAAATAGCAGTGAGATATATAATCATTTTTTTTCCTTTAGGAAACATACAAAATAATATGATGTATCTCGAATTATACAATTTAATGAAAAAAATCAGGAAACAATTAATCATTTTCCGCAATTTTGTTGGCATCGAATACAATTCTGACTTACAATATTGCTACATGTTACACAATTTTAAAAAAATTTATAGTTAAAATTGCAAAAAGGATCATTTCAATATTTTATCATATCATAATTAAGATATATAACATATATATAACATGTTGGAGAAATTTTATTTAAATATACATCGTTATATAAAGGATTTTTTAAGCTTTAAAAAGGAACTTGTTGTATTGATTATGGTCAATAAAATATTCATCAAACATGGACTCTGTTACAGGAAATTGCGTGAATTAAAAATCTATTAAATATTTTTCATCATACTCATTTCAATATACAGTAGTTTTAAACTTAAAAATTTATCAGATTGCGAGTACGAATTCAATGTCAAAAAGCTGATGAATTTAAAATGATTGAAATCAATATAACAGATGACAAAAATTAAAAAATTATCAAGTTATTTATCTACATTTAATTTCGTTATTTTAAATTGATTTTTGAATTTATCTTGATATCAAATTTACATTTAGAAATCTATTAAGTGCGAATAATGTTAGGAAATGTTTGATAGATTCATAATAGCCCAATTTACAAATTTTCAGTAAAGAGCTAATTATTTATGTAATCTTTAATTATATAATTATTTTATTAATCATAATCGACATAGCAAATTCCTTCCAGCATCTGAAAATCTTAACAAAACATATACTTAATTTTGATTGTTCCAACATCAACGTCACATACGCTAAGTTACATTAAAGTAGCTTTTTTGTAACAATTTTCTCAAAATTAACATGACAAAGCAAACTAGAATCGTAATCGATATGATATGAAAAATTATATACAATCTTATTGTGTCCAAAAAATTATTTTTTTTATTGAACTATGTGTTATCTATCAGATAATATCGTTCAATACATGTGCGATATAAGATTACAGCTTTGAGCCGATGAATCGAGGACTTCACTTTCGTGTATGAAAAAATATATAATGTAGAATTGTTTTATATAATAATAATAGTCTCATTTATTGTTTCTCTATCTCTGTCTTTCAAACGTGCAAAAAATTGATATTATATGAATTCATATACTTTCTCTCTTTCTCTCTCTTTGGTATTTAATGGACTATGAGATTCTCAATTGCTTAATCATGATATCATCATTCCAATAACGATCCTTAACTAGAGAGAGGTTTATTTTAAAATTATACAATTCATGTCGCACGCGCGTTAACATTCAAACTCTTTATATTATCAGACGAAAGATGAAATATGAACAAAACATCTACGCAAAAAATGCACGATATATAATAAATTCTACAAAACAGATTATTAAAATATAAAATAAAGGAACGAGAAAACTTTTTAACAAAATTTGTTACATTATCTATGTGTGTTTCAAAATACTTTTAAGTCAACTATTATTTAGCTGATATATGTTGAATACATATTCATATACAGGTTTGTTTCGAAATTCTCAACTTTAATTTTTGATGACTTTTCTACTAATTCGGAACAAATTAGATTTAATTAGAATGCTCAAATCAAGAATAAATTTTCGAATTACAAATAAAAATTAAATACTAAGGCAAAATTTCTCTTGTTTTGCATCTAATAAAACAATAAGATTTTATTATATATTTAAACTGATTGATATAAACTTTTTTAAAATCTGAAATTAATGTTTGATTACTAGACTGATTAGATTAAGAGACTCTAGAAAGATTGAGAAGCTACGATAAATAGTGTTTTCTTTTTTAAATAGGATTTTTCTAAAAATACATTGAAATTTTTCTTATGATAGGATTGATTATAAATTTGTTGAAAATCTTCAGCTTTGAAATTAAAGTTGAGTATTTTGAAACATTTTTTTATAGATATTCTAAATATATTATATTATTCATTTATCTACAAAGTAACCATTAATCTACAAAGTAACCATTAATACCAATTGATCAATTTTTCTTCTAAAATTTAAGCAATTAAAGATATTTAAATAGTTTAGCAGCATTGTTAGGTAACAATTTAAGGAAAATTTATTTAAATTTAAAAATCCAACTTCTAAAATTAAAAATAATTTTAGAAGTTGGATTTTTGTATATACTTATAAAATCATCTAATTAAAAATAAAATTAGACATTTTAATACTATAAAATTTTATGTAAAAAAAAAAGACACTGTATTACTTAATTTTTATCCAAAAAATACTTGAAGTGTTGCAAATAACGCATATGAAAAAGATGAGAAAAGAAAAAAGGGGGTCATCCCATATACATATCTACTTATATAAATTAATAATAAATACCTTTCTCATACTTTCTCTTTAAATCTGGCAACACAATGTAAAGGAACATTAATTAATTATCTATTTACATATTTAAACATTATCTCATGGATCGAGCGAGCCGAAATCGGAAACACTGTTACTCTTAAGTACAAGGCATTTCTATGCACGTGTGCGTTTGTTTATAATTTACACAGGCAGAATAATAAGGGAATAAAAGCACCGATGGCTACGAAAACAGGTAACATTACAGAAGAATCATCTATCGAGTATGGATCGGGTGTCCTAGGCCCACTTGTGTGTCGACTACGCACAGGAGTTTCTTCCTCCTCTTCCTGCATGCTGTGATATTCCTCCGGATCCTGCGGTATCGGTCCCAACTGTGGTATGTCTATAAAAAAGTTATAAATTTTTACAACAAAGAAAGATTAATTTATTAATCAAGATGAAAAAATTCAAACCTTCCAAAGTTCCTTTCACAACAGCTATGGCATTTATCTTAGGATTGTCTCTATAACCCTGTAAAATTACAGAATCGACACAATTACGTGTTATTTCATGTATATGTATGAAGAGAGGTATAATATTGTACAAAAAATATATATACACAGCTATGTATACAGAACCATGTCTCAGACCATTCGTCGTACACTCCTTTTAAAATGAAAATAAATAAAATTTTATCAAAAATCACGAATAATTTTTAAGTAAATCGGGTACGCTCTATCAAATGGTGACATTTTCAATTTTTGATTCCGACTGGAAATACGCCATCCAGATCGGAAGTTGAATTATTTTAGGGGAACATAGTATTTTTTATTACAGATTCGAATTGTACGTGAAAAAATAAGAAACTTTTGTATCAAACATTTTTTCTGAAAGTACCTCAGTCAATCTTAAAATTGACCTTGATTATTTCATCACAGTTACTTTCAAGGTCAATTTTCAGATTGACAGAGGTATTTTTAGAAAAAACGTTCGATACAAAAGTTTCTTATTTTTCCACGTACAATTTGAATCTGTAATAAAAAGTACCATGTTCCCCTAAAAAAATTCAACTTCCGATCCGGAGGTTGAATTTTTTTAGGGGAACATGGGTGTACGAATGATCTGGAACACCCTGTATATAAAATATACACTAATCTATTACCTTTATAAATTCTACTCTTATCTTTCCTGCCAAGATGTCTGATTCCTCATCATTGTAAATCAATTTTCCACCCTGTACCCTGAACGGGACATATTCGTCGTGCGCAACGCCTCGGCCGACCCTCTCGAAGATGTCCAAATCAGTGACCACGGTGTGATCGCCGTTCAGGACAACATCAAAGACCTACCATAGGAAGTGTACATTAGGAATTCAATCGAAACAACTTTTCAAGGGTATACAATCATCAAACAAATTTACCTTCATATTCGGCGAGTTGAAGTAAACCTCGCAGAACTTGAGTATCATGACGTAATCGCCGTCCTGACTGATCGGCACATCGTATCCGAAGGTGTTGTGATGGTAACGCTCGGTCTGATACAGGATCTGGTCCACGTTGTTGACGCGTCCTATGATCAGCTGTTTACCGTAATCGGACGCCGTGCCAACCTTGCTCATGAGAGGGTCCTTGGAGTAACGTATCCCGTAACTGTCCGTGTGCGACTCGCCACCTGCGTTTATCGCGTATATCACCTCGAGGCAGCGCGACCCGGGAATCCGGGACACACCGAGCAGCAGCAGCAGCGGCAGCGATCGCATCTTACGACAGGCGTGTCATTCGCAGCGCGAGAAAATCCGGCTCGGCGAGCACGAGGTGCTCATAACTCGTCCTTCAGGATCCGTCCTTCTCTTCGTGGTCGTCGTCCCTATTCCTCGCTGACCGGGATCGCATCGAGTCGCAATCGCGTCGATCCTTATATCGTGTGCAGCACCCAAACGGCACGTCGAATCGTATCTGCCGAGCTTGCGGGAAAATATTGATACGCAGCTGACACGCGGCCATATGTGTGATGAGATCTGCGTTATCTAGTTAGTTATCTCTGACTTACCGACCGTGTCAGTCTCTTGTGATGTCGAAAACGCCCGTCAGATGTTGCCACTTTCATGGATTTATACTTAGACCAAAGAGAAACCTGAGAGCGGCCACCAGCCTCGACGGGCACATTTCTCGTAGAGTCCTATAATATAGGGATCCATATATTATAGAGACTCTACTCTTGTCTAACTCTCATGTCCATCTCATGTGAATAGTTCGGATATGAACCATAGCTCGAACATGAACCATAGCTCGGACACGAACCATAGCTCGGATACGAACCATGTATCATTATCGACTGTAATGGACTGTAGTTGACGTCCACTTTGTCAGGCGGCGCATTAGGATAATGTGCTCGTTAAAGCGAGGTGGCCGCTCTCAGGTTTCTCTCTGGTTTTTATTTTATAATCTCGTAAATTGCGAATGGATAGAGAAAGTGAAAAAGCCGATTGTAAGAGACTTCGGAATTCTTTAATGATAGGTCATCTCGCTCGCTCTCGACTCGCTGTCGCTCTCGCACTTGACAGGTCGTAAAGATAAGCGGACTCGGCTTCCTCGCGTAAACATCTTATAAAATAAAAACTGAAACGCCTATTTTTTATTTTATCTATTTGAAAGTAATTTTAATGAATTATTGAGATTCTTGCGATTAAAATGATATCAAACACGACATAAATCGAATAATTTTTAATTGGTCTGATAATAAAAAAAAATTTTTATTGTATATATTTAACTACATTTATCCGATTGATACCGCGTTTGATGTTGTTTAAAATTTGTCGTCATTGTCGCAAAATTTTCATTGTTCCATTAAAATTACTCGCATACCTTATAAATATATCTTAAAATGATTAATTTATTTATTTCTCACAATTTGTCATCGGTCGCTTGCCAGCGGCAGGTTTGATAACGAGATGAATATGACAGTATATGAGTACGTAAGAACGAGTGAAACAATAACAGAAGCGAGCGAGAGAGAAATAGTATGCCAGACTGCAAGAAAGACTCGGTTTTCGAGTCTTCGTTGCTTGTTTTATTCCTATCTCGCTCATTCTTATTGCCATTTCGCTCCCTCTTATTACCTATATATTATACATATACATATATATATATATATATATATATATATATGTATAATATATATATATGTCATATTTTATTGGTACATATACATATACATATATATAAGTGTATAAAACGACCATATGTTCGTGCTAGATTCATTAATTATTGTGAATCTCAAAATAAAATACGAAACATTATTGCGTATGATCTTTTTTTCATTTTGGTAATATTTATTATTGGAGTAATATACACATATATATTTTATTAAAATACTTTTATTGAAATTATTAAAACATTAATTTTTATGTGAAATAAAATAAGCATTTTAATTTTATATATATTATACACGCATATACATATATATTACTTCATAATATATGCTAAAGTGAAAAAAGATCACGCGCTGTTAATAATATGTAATAAAAATTAATAAATGTATGATATGTTTCGTACTTTTGAAATCCACAATTATGGATCTAGCACGGACATGAACCAATCGGTCGTTTTACCATGGCAACGAAAAGTGGATCCGGCCACGTAATACCGCCGGCCATAAAATAGATCCAGTTAGCACCACTTTATGGCGGGGAAAAAGCGTTCCCTGAAAAAGGACAGCATGACCCTTCTCAGTTTTCTCTCTGGCCTAAGCTATGTCAGTGTGCATTTTCGTCTATTCATATACATTTAAGTTCATCAACGGTGTTCCTGTGCGTCTTTCGCGTGATCTTTGTTTTAATTAATTTTTGAGTTTCTCCCTCTCTCGAGGGTTTCGACAGTAACACCGTATACCAGTTTTTGGCCAGTATCTTATATTCCTCTTGGGAATTAGGGGCCACTCAAATTAAAGAAAGAAGTTCATCAACGTCCTATGCCACGTGGGTCGTATACACTCCGCTCTAAACTTTCGTTCAAGCTTTTCTATTTAGTGCATATATAATATTTTTTAATTAGTGATATATAATAAAACTAAACTAGTGAATAACGTGAATAACATTGCGAGCTTCTTTTTCCATGGCTACTATAATTTCTTTACCCGACGAAGTGATTGATATCATTCTGGGAGATGAAAATGTCAGCATTAAGGATGTCGTGAGTTTTAAATCCACGTGTAAAAAATTCCACGAAATAATACATAGTAAAAAAGTTTGGGAAAAGAAATTTTATCAAAGGTATACTTATTTATTTTTATAAGTATTTATATTAATTTTATTCGATCGATTTTCATTGAACAAAGAAGCATTCTTGCAAATTAAAAAAAAATAAATTTGAAGCTATTTTATTCTTAGCTTATTAATTCAAAGTTTTGCCGTTTTACTACGTATTAATCAAACTTAAATATGATTATTAGTAGAGAATCAAAATATATAATAAAGCTTGTATTTTTCCTTAAACTATATAAATACTCGAAATAGAAAATTTTATAGTATACTGATATACTTAATGCAGGTGCGAATAAAGAGAATGTAGCTTTTTCTTTTTTGTCTCTTTCTCTATCTATATATATTGTTTATCTAAATTATTATACGATTAAACATCACACTTAATCAGATTCAATAACGGACTGATTAGCTAAGATACGGATGTTATATTAAATCCGATAGGATATACAAATAGGGATATACAAATGTAGATATTATCATTTAATTATTTTCTATTTAGAATTAGAAAGAAATAATCTAGGATTGTTTTCCTTCTCCGCTCCCCTTTCACTTTCATACATTCTCTCTCTCTCTCTCTCTCTCTCTCTCTCTCTCTCTAATTAAATATAATAATTAATCAAATATTAAAATTAATTTAAATTATTTTTGACAAAAAATTCAACATTTTATGTACAATATTCATAACTCAATAATATTAGCAGGCCATATGAAATATTCACATCACTTATACAAATTAACTGAGCGTACCGCATGAACGTAAGAAATACAGGACAGAGTGTATTGCTACGGGGCTGAAGCTCAAAGGGTGAGGGGAAAGAAATATCTACTGCAACGGAATATGAGGCATGTAAGATGGCGGCGGATATTAATTTTACGGAGTGTAATATTTTTGAATTCCTTAATATTTACAAATGATTTGGAATAACACAGCGATTTCAGTTGATAGATGATTTCACGGAATCTCTCATATTTTATTCGATTTACGTCCGTGCGACGTGAAAATAGACGCTACATCTGAGGCATCTAAGATGGCTGCAACAATAAACCCCTTACCTCTCAGGCTTCACTCCCCTCGTCTAAAAGAGTACTTTATGCTCTGTCCTGTATTTCTTACGTCCATGGCGTATCGTGAAAGAAACATTCGCTAACGCAAGAGAGTATAGGTGGAGTGGTACTATCTCTGTCTAATGTGATTAAGTGAGGTAAACGCTATGTGCTTCTCCTTTCTCTTTCCAGCTATTTCTCCTTTCCTCTTTCCAGTCATCACTTTCTTCCTCTTTTTGTGAAGTGTGAGGAAGAGTAGAAGACTCTATTTCTTCTACTACTTCTATCGTTCTATGGCTAGAGGCGTGCAAATCTGCTCTCACTCCCGCTCGTTCCTGAGCGAGACTGGATCAGTGATGGTAGGTCGGGTGATTTTTTCGCGCATGCGCTGCGAACGCGGCGTTAACGAAGTATCTAGTAGAAGTAAAAAGTGTGTCACTCGTCGCCCTTAAATAAATTTCTGAGGGAAAATTTTTAGAAAATTTTTACGAGCGACCAACAGCACACTTTTATTTCACTAATCACTTTTCCCGCTGTACTTTAAAACATTATAACACTATAACTTTATAACTTTATAACTTTATAACATTCACTCGGGACTCGGGACTTCTTTCTAGCATCACTGATCTCAGCTTGCCCGCCAAAACTTTGGCGCCCATAATCCGCTATCTGATACACCGTTGCTTTCCTGTGATTACTACTGCGCATGCGCGAAAAATTACCCGGCCTACCATCACTGGACTGGATTCTCGAGACTTTGTTAGATTATCGGGAGCGCTGTTATCGAGAGAGTGAGGGTAGAAGTCTATCTAATAGAGCATTGAGACTCGGGATTCGCTCGTTCCCGAGCCTCTATTCTCGATAGCGCTCCCGATAATCTAACAATAAGTCTCGAGAATTCAGTCTCGCTGGCGGGAACGAGCGGGAGTGAGAGCAGATATGCACTCCTCTAATGTAGGCACGCGTAAGTCCATACAAAAATGCAGTCTACCTATATAAGCCTATGATCCACACACATAAGAAATAATAAAATCAGTTGTGCAGCAAACATCAATGGCATCAGATGTGAAAAAATCAATAATAGATGACAGACTGATACGCGCCTATATGTTTATAATTATGGAAATAAGCGCGCAAATTGTATGCAATATTGATAAATTTTGATTGTTAATATTTCTGCATTGGAATTTTTTATTTTATTTGACTTTTAGAATACATTATTAAAATATTGCATGAAATAAATATTGAAATAATTGTATTTTATATTTGTATGTATGTGAGACACTTATTATATAATATATAATGTATAATAATATTATATTCGTAAACTATTAATATTTATTAAATACTTTTAACATTATAATATTTATATGAATAATATTATATAATATTTATATGAATTTTACAAAGTATTATAAAAAATTTATTGCTGCTATAGATAGCGCGTTATGTAATAAAATTACTGAAATTTTTTTGTCTTAATTTTGTCTTAAGGTGTCCTTCTGCGAGAAAAAAGTATAATACAGAGAAAAGGGAAAACATTTTTAAACACTTAGATTTTAAAGAAAAAATAAAAGCAAACATTAAATGCATCAAATCTCTACAACATTATGCACATCTGATGTTGAAAGAAAATTTATCGGATACTGACAAAAAAAAATTAGGACACCTTTTGATTTTCATAGCTGAAGATTCCATGACTTATTACTTTGTTTTGGATGAAATAAATACAATCATCATTTCTCTATATACCTATTTGAGGTAAATTTTATTAAATCAAGTTGCTATTAATAATATAAAATAATATAATTATTGTTGTAATTAATTATAATTATTGTACAATTAATATGAAATATTTCTACAGGAATTTAGACTTAGATTTGGATATTAAATACAACTTTGATCAAATTAATTGCCATCTGAGACAGTATCGATTTATATATAAACTAAATAAATTTCTAAACATGCCAAAGGAGAAAAGACTTTTTGAACGATATTTTATTATTATTGTGGCACATTTTCAGCCATGTGTGTCTTACTCGGTCATAGAAACGTTTTTAGATGATTTAGCGCATGAAGTACTTTCCCTTATTAAAAATAAATATCCTAAGCATTCTATATTTTCAACGTCTCTTGAGCAAATTTCGTTTTGGAGAGACAACAATATCGAACGTAATTTCTGGAATCTAATGGAAGCAAAGCAAATTATAGAAATTCTTGACGATTTTATAGAATGCGAGAATTTTAAATTTAAATTATCTGAACTATCGAAAACATTAGATACAGAATGCAAATATATAATTGATGTAAGCAATTTTAAATATTAACAATTATAATTATACTTCGTTATATGGTGCATAAGCACAATTCTATTTTTTATGTCTCATACGCAAACTAATAAAATAAAATAAAATTTAATAAAATCAAATTTATGTCATAGTATCTAAACAATGAAGGATTTTTATCAACTATTATATATCAGTGCGTGGCTAGAAGACTTGGGATATATTGCTGTTCAACGTTTGCAACCTTTCGTTTAAATGACTCGGATATAAATATGTGGAAGCCGAAATTGTAAGCCTAATTTTAAGTTCAGAGCTTCTTCAATTTATAAATTTATGTTTTTATATACATACTTTTATATGCATAAAAATATATATATGTATGCATACACGTTTGTGTACACACACACACACACACACGCGCGCGCGCGTGCGCTTATTCATATGAATATATTAATATAAATATAAATATATTTGTATGTAATATATTAATAATTAATAAATTATTTTATATAAAAATGCAAATACCTAACATTCAATAGAAATTTCAAAGTACACTCTACATACGCTTGCACATTAACACAATAAAACATATGCATACACAGAAGACACAAAACATACACACGTGCACGCGCAAATATATATACACACATCATGCATGCACAGAAAAATAATCACAAAAATTCTTTTTTTAATATAAGATAAAAAAATTATCTTCAGATTTGTAAATAGAATATAATTTCATTTATAAATAATTGATTAATTTATTTTACATTTTGTAAATATAATATATTTATGTAAATAAATTTAGTAAAAGTTATATTGTAGACCAATGTCATAAATTATTATTTGTTGTTGTGTTAACTTTATAATATATGTAAATTATATTTTTGAAGGAATTTTATCTGAGATATATTAATAGATTTTATGATGTAAAATGTAAAATGTATTAATTTATATAAAAAACATTTATATACAACCATACATATACGTTAAAAATAAATATACAAGTTTATATATATACGTTTCTGATATGTATATTTATACTTATATAAAAATGTGATGACAATTTAATTATATTTCTCTTTCTTTTTAAAAAGAAGATTTCTCTTTAAGAAATAATTTAATAAAAATTATTTTTTTTAAATATGTTTTACTGATAAATGTTGTGATTTACTTCCATAACTGTATAAAACTGTATAAAACGACAGACTAACTTTGTAAGTAGAACAGAGTCAAAGGCGATATATTTTTTATTAAATGTATAATTTTTTTTTAAAGTTGTTTTAAAATATAGGCAACCTTTTATTATTTTTCACTGAAAAAATTATTTATGTCAAATAATTGATAATCGAGACAATTTATAGCTTCGTTAGAGATAGATTTATACACAACACGCTTTTAATTAATTTATTGTAAATAGAAATATTTGCACATTGATGATAATGAACTCCTTTATACTTTTTATTTATACTCTTATATGAATGTACATATATACTTATGTACATATATACTCTTATATAAACGTATACATATATCCAGATGTATATTTTTAGTTATTTTTTTTTATTTCAGTAATATAGAGGATATGGTGATGGGAAAATATTATTTTAAGGATTGTATACATCATTCACATTCTATAATGCAACAAGAATGCAATGTATGTAGAAATCCACTCGAATTGCGTTTCTGTAATGCAGAAATGGAATGGACATATAATGAATTATGTGATAGCTTAAATGATATAAAGGTATGCAAATTCTTATATGTACTATATTTTTAATTATTAGTAGTCATTAATAAAGATAACAATCCATTATATAAGCAATATAAATAATACGAATCAACAAATTAAAACAACAAAGCGTTATACCAACAAATTTTTTATTATTTTTTTGTCCACAAACGGAATTATGTTTACATATTTGTTTTTTTAGGTCATAACAAGAATAATATTCTATCTGTGTGAATCACTGAATTTGATCAGTGATGAGCTATATAAATATTATGGTTGGAGCGAAGCAGTTAGCTCTAGTGTATTTATTTACCTAAATCAATGGTTCAGACGATATGATAATATTAAAGGAATAAATATTGAAGCTGAATACATTAATATTACAGAGTCAATACAGGTAATTTATGACATCATATAATATTTATATAAATTATAATATATAATAACTACGAATAATATCTAAAGCGATTGTATTGATTATAATTAATTTATAACTTAGGTCATTATAATAATTTGAAAATCACTCGACAAGATATCTTAATTAAAATTCTGTTATTACATATTTCTTATATGCATACAGGACAGAAATGACCCTCTCTTTCGCAACAGAAATGAATCATGGTATATAGAAAATAAAAACAAATATGCAAATAATTTGTATGAAGTTGGTACGATATTATGGGCTCTATGCACGTATCTGATGGAACCCGACGTTGCCGATTTCAGGGGGCTCCGACTGACAAACAATAGGTTAGGCGTAGAATAAAGAAAACTTGCACATTGCACATTCGTTAACTATTTATCTATCAAATAAAAATTTACCTATATAATATTAATCTCGCTAGAAGGTAACTTTCGTGAAGGGGTCCCCAAAACCAAATGTGCCAGGGGCCACCATATGACTAAAGACGGCCCTGGGTATAATCATAAGAACGTCAGACGAATTTGATGGTGTGATAATTGGTTGGCATCTTGAATGTGATGATGTATTCACTAATCTATTGCAGGAATTGAATGATATTAATCTTGATGACTATTATCCATTGAATAAATTGAATCATCCATCTATATCAGGGAATCTATATCTACTTCACAAGTTGACAAATTTCGAGAATTGTTATTATAGATTCAGTCGACCAACTTATCGTATGGAACAACCGCATTGTTTAATTCTCACAGATAGCAATGGAATACGTTATGTGGGACAAAATATAAATATTAATAGCATCTTTCTTTTTGGTATTATTACCTACCTGTACGATATGAAATTTATCAATTTTATTTTAGATTTTATTTACTGTATCGAAATGCCTAACAAATAAACGATCACAATTGATCTATAATGCAGAAATAGGGAGATACTTCACTAGATTCGAAGATATTCATTACGTACCAAATGAAAACCTGGCAAAACTATATTCAGACGATACTGCTGCTATTCTTGAAATACTTTGCAGCCAGTAACATATAACATGTACAATTTATGATATAAAAATATTAAAATTGTATGCATAAATAATATTGCATATCATAATGTTTACACAATGTTTGATTACATTATAAAAAATAAAATATATTAAAAATATAGCATTATGTGCGTTATTAAATTTCCATGATTCATATTAACAATTTTGATATCAATGAATTGACTTTTGAGTTTCCACATATCCTTCAACACTGCACCAGTTTAGTTCTCACCATATGGAATGAATTACACAATCTTACAAATTTCGTGACTTTTATACTATGTACTAATTAGACGCACCTCATAAATGTTTATTAAGTCGCTTAATCATGAGTCGAAGGAGATGCAAAACACCGTTAGTATCGTTAACAAAGATGTTCCCCAAAAGAACATTTGCTTAATTGTAAATATTATTTGCTTTTATAAACACACATACACAGAATATACTTGAGCTTCTTATTTTTTTTTTAAATTATAATAAAAAAGAATATTTTTACTTGCACATACAATTAAGTTATTTCAAAAAATTTTTAATTAGAATATCTGTGTATCACTTATTATTTTAAATAATATTAAAAATTATAATTATACTTTGATGTATGGTGCATAAGTACAATTATGTATTTTTATGTCTTATACGAACTAATAACATAAAATTTATGCCATAGTTTCCATACGATTTAGAATATTTATCAACTATTACACATCAGAGCGTGGCTACAAGACTTGACATATATTGCTGTGCAACATATGCAATATTTGATAGACATTTGGAATTCATGTGGAGGCCGAAATAGTAAGCATCATTTTAGCTCCAGAAGTTTTTCAATATTCTGGTTTTTATTTTTATGTACATACTGTTACGTCCTTTCGGCGCGTTAAATTAAGTTGACGATAAAAATCATCCCCCAACGCGTTATCAAAGCTTGTTTAAGAAGAGCAGACAAGAGAGATTCGAGCTGTCAAACTCAGACGCGTTTCCGACAGCTCCGACTATTCGCCTATTTTAATTATGTGTTTCGTATTTGTATTGTCGTATCGTGCTACGTTGTGAGTTATTAAAGTTCCTGTTACTTTTTAACAAAGTGTGTTTTTATTTCGCGAGTGCCGTGCATGTTTCAACGGTAGTATTGAACGCTTCGATAATATCGATTATGATCCGTGGGCGTAAAATGTTGTATTCGCGGACTGATATATTCATATGCATACGTATAGAGAGATAATCACAAAAATTTCTTTTTTCAATAAAAGATTTAAAAAAATTGTTTTGAAATTTTCTAATAAAATGATATAATTTCATTTACATAAATAGTTAATTTATTTTATATGTTAATATATTTACATACAACAATTTCAATAAAAGTTATAGATCAATTTTATAAATTATTATTTATTGTTACGTAAACTTTATAATTTAAGTAAATTATATATTTTTAGAAGAATTTAACTGAGATTAACAGATTTTATTATCATAGAAAATGTAAAACGTGTTAATTTATACAAAAAAGAATTATATACAATCGTATATATTAAAACACGTTCACAAACTTACGTTTCGAATGCAATGTTATGTATAAGAATATGACAATTTAATTCTGATTTTAAGTTTTTTTAAAAGAATTAGAAAATAATTTAATAAAAATTTATGTTTTTTATATATTATATTTTATTAATTAAAAATTCTTTTCACAACTTTGTGTTAACGCATATAGAACGATAAAATATTTTTATATACGGAATTACAAATGCGATTTATTTTTTTTTTAAATATATAATTTTTTTAAGAGTGAAGAAACTTTTATTTTTTACTGAAAAAATTATTTCTATCAAACCTTTGATAACATATATCAAAATAATTTGTAGCTTAATTAGTAATAAGTAGAGAGACTTTATTCACAACGTTTTTTAATTAGTTTATTGTAAATACTAGAAATATTTGTCTCTCTATACGTGTACATATGAATATTATCATTCCGCGAATACAACATACATTATAATGAATTCTCCTTTTACTTTTTTATTTATACTCTAATATAAATGTACATATATATAAATGCATATTTTATTATTCTTTTAGTAATATAGAATATATGGAGAGGGCAGAGTATTATTTTAAGGACCGTATTTTGAATTCATTCGGATTTTATAATGCATTAAACGATGATGCATGTATATAATGGAACATTTTGTACAAAGAGTATAAAAGTAGACAAATTTTATATACTATCTTTTAATTATAGTAGTTTTATTAATAGAAATAACAATCTATTAGAAATTAATTAATAGAAATAACAATCTATTAGTACAAGTAATATGTTGAATCAACAAATTAAAACAACAATTAGTTATATTAATAAATTTTTCATTATTTTTTTGTCTGTAAACGAAATTTTGTTTACATATTTATTTTTTTTAGGTGATAAAAAAGACAATTTCTGTTTTTTCTGGATGAATCATTGAGACATAAAAATGATGTACATCCACTTTATGAAAGCAGGAAATCATCTGTTCTAATTGCTGGCATAAATCATTGATTCATAGGATGTAAAATAATTAAAGAAATAAATACTGAAACACAGACTGACTACAATAATATTGCAGATTTAATAGAGGTAGTTAATAATACATTATAATAATATTCTTAACTATTAGTGATATATAAAGAATTCACATCATTATAACTTTATAATTTAGATTACAAATATAATTTGAAAATCACTCAACAAGATATCTTAGTTAAAATTCTGTTATTATATTATTTCACATTTCTTATATGCACAGGACAGATCTAACATTCTCTTTTCCGAAAGAAGTGAAAAACCGAAAATAAGAAATAAATTCGATAAAAATTCGATAGTTTTTAGAAAGCAATCAAAAGCTATTTTTTTAATTCAAGTTTTCAAGAAAATATAATAAAATAATTATTCGATAACAGAAACGGCCATCAATATGGACTAAATCCCTAATTTAGACAAACATTAAGGGCGATTAATGGCTGAGGCGATAAAGTGTTTGCATGCCGTATAAAGGATCTTTATATCCTTTATATCATCATATCCATCTTGAGTTCAAGACCCGATAGACAGGATAAAGATTTTTCTGCGATATAGTCGCCCACCTCTCTTTTCCTTATCCTTTTTCTTTCCTTGTCCACTCCTCTAATCTTGTTGTACTCTATTTGGTTTGAGAAATTTTATTCTATATTGTTTATTATCAGAGAGAAGACTGAGAAGTGTCATGGCCCACTTTTATTTATTTATTTTTTTTTATTGAGCAATAAGCACGCTCTGGCTAGTCGCCATACAGCTTGATACATGTAAGTTATATCGTCTGTTGGTAAGATTTAGCAATAGGTAAAAATATTGAAGTCATATAATAAACTTCTTTAGTACTATCGTAGCTTATACAAATTAAACTATAAAAACTTCTAACAATCTTAATACGTAAAAGAAATGCTTAAACATAAAGAAAACATCAAAGTTAAAATCTTTCTTATTTCTAATGTATCATACTATAATAAAGCAAATATATATAATATATAAAAAATGTATATCAAAATTTACGTTAGTTATTAATTAATCTTATCTTAATCTAAACCTAGACCCACTTTTAGGTGATCCCTGAAAGCGATACGCTCTCTGTTAATCTAAAAAACGTGAACATGAACTACAAAGTCAATGTCCACGAAAGTTCTCAGAGGGTAAAGGCCGCAACACACACTTTTGCATAAGCGCATAACCAGAAGCATAAGGAAATTGATTGGTCCCCAAGTATATGCATAAGAAAATGAACCAATCAATTTTTTTATGCTTATGGTTATGCGCTTATGCAAAAGTGTGTGCTGCGGCCTTAAGGGCCTATCCAGACAAACTTGCATAGGTGCATATGCATAACATAAGACCATATGGACCAATGAGCATCGAGTATTAAATCGCTATATTGACTTACATAACATAATACTCGATGCTCATTGGTCCATATGGTCTTATGTTATGCATATGCACCTATGCAAGTTTGTCCGGATAGCCCCTAAAGCCTTAAGGCTGCAGCACACACTTTTGCATAAGCGCATAACCATAAGCATAAGAAAATTGATTGGTTCATTTTCTGCCAATTTTATTAATATATTGTTCAGCTTAAAAGCCTAAATTTTAAGCGTCAAGTTTTTTTAATTAAAATTTTTTTTACTTTCTTGTTTTATATTAATTTTCAGTTTCCAATTTTTAAATAAATTTTTAATTTTTTAATATTATTATTTTTGAAAATTAAAGCAACTATTTTGTATAACAATGTTTTCAATTAAAATATTTGTATTTAACTTGTACAAGTTTTTTTCCTTGTACTTCTATTTATCTTGTACAAATTTTTATTCTTAGTTGGCGCAATTTTTTTACATCACTATTTTTGTAGACAATATGACAGTTGGACAATTAGTGCATGAACTTAGCGCCCTTTTTTTACCTTTTTTTAAAAAGGTAAGTTTTTGGGAATTATATCACTTCCTTTTTTAGTCTAATTTGCTAAGAGATATTATATTAAAAATAGTATGTATATATATATGTATATTCCTTTAATATATAAACAAATTATATAAAAATATATATAGAATAAGTATATATAATATACATTATATATATATATATATATATATATATAATTAATATATTATATACAGGGTCTACCAAAAGTGTGGAAACCCCTAAATATCTCGGAAAATATACGTTTTACAGAAAAGTGTTTCCAACAAAAGTTGTAGGGTTTAAGAAGATCTATATACTGATTCTATCAGTTTGACCTTGGATGGCGTCGTCAAGGTCAGGTCAAGGTCACATTGACTTTTTTAAATGACACCCCCTACATTTGATTGCATATTCTTATAGCTTAATTCAAGAGCTTTCCAAAACACTATAATAATGTTCATTTTTATTAAGTACTTTGCGAGTTATGAGGGTTGAATGATAGAGTAGCGCCGGTATTAACATTATCCAAG